GGAGTAAGAGTCAACAACCCGGGAGCTACAGGCAGGGGAGTGAGCGTCAACAACCCGGGAGCTACAGGCAGGGGAGTGAGCGTCAACAACCCGGGAGCTACAGGCAGGGGAGTGAGCGTCAACAACCCGGGAGCTACAGGCAGGGGAGTGAGCGTCAACAACCCGGGAGCTACAGGCAGGGGAGTGAGCGTCAACAACCCGGGAGCTACAGGCAGGGGAGTGAGAGTCAACAACCCGGGAGCTACAGGCAGGGGAGTGAGCGTCAACAACCCGGGAGCTACAGGGAGGGGAGTGAGCGTCAACAACCCGGGAGCTACAGGCAGGGGAGTGAGCGTCAACAACCCGGGAGCTACAGGCAGGGGGAGTGAGCGTCAACAACCCGGGAGCTACAGGCAGGGGAGTGAGCGTCAACAACCCGGGAGCTACAGGCAGGGGAGTAAGAGTCAACAACCCGGGAGCTACAGGCAGGGGAGTGAGAGTCAACAACCCGGGAGCTATAGGCAGGGGAGTGAGAGTGAACAACCCGGGAGCTACAGGCAGGGGAGTGAGAGTCAACAACCCGGGAGCTATAGGCAGGGGAGTGAGAGTGAACAACCCGGGAGCTACAGGCAGGGGAGTGAGAGTGAACAACCCGGGAGCTACAGGCAGGGGAGTGAGAGTGAACAACCCGGGAGCTATAGGCAGGGAGTGAGAGTGAACAATCCGGGAGCTACAGGCAGGGAAGTGAGAGTGAACAACCCGGGAGCTTTAGGCAGGGGAGTGAGAGTGAACAACCCGGGAGCTACAGGCAGGGGAGTGAGAGTGAACAACCCGGGAGCTACAGGCAGGGGAGTGAGAGTGAACAACCCGGGAGCTTTAGGCAGGGAAGTGAGAGTGAACAACCCGGGAGCTACAGGCAGGGGAGTGAGAGTGAACAACCCGGGAGCTATAGGCAGGAGAGTGAGAGTGAACAATCCGGGAGCTACAGGCAGGGAAGTGAGAGTGAACAACCCGGGAGCTACAGGCAGGGAAGTGAGAGTGAACAACCCGGGAGCTTAGGCAGGGGAGTGAGAGTGAACAACCCGGGAGCTACAGGCAGGGGAGTGAGAGTGAACAACCCGGGAGCTTTAGGCAGGGAAGTGAGAGTGAACAATCCGGGAGCTACAGGCAGGGAAGTGAGAGTGAACAACCCGGGAGCTACAGACAGGGGAGTGAGAGTGAACAACCAGGGAGCTACAGGCAGGGAGTGAGAGTGAACAACCCGGGAGCTACAGACAGGGGAGTGAGAGTGAACAACCCGGGAGCTACAGGCAACAGTAGAAAAAGTGATTGACTGGTGTAAAGAAATGATTGCTGTCGCCCAAAAGGCGTCTGTTTTGGGGTGTTCTCTGGACAACAGGATTGTTAGAGCTGATGTCCCAGGTCTCACGATAGATGATAGAAACGTCGTGAGAACAAACATAATTATCTGGGAATCTTATTCGACAGCAGCCTGTCTTAAAGACTAACTTGTTGAAATACAGCGAATGTAGAACGCTGATGTTAGGGACATTCTGGGCTGTACCAGAGACACGCCAGTGGTGTGTATGCGATACATCCTTGGTTTGCTGAGTGGAGTGTATGCGATACATCCTTGGTTTGCCGAGTGGAGTGTATGCGATACATCCTTGGTTTGCCGAGTGGTGTGTATGCGATACATCCTTGGTTTGCCGAGTGGTGTGTATGCGATACATCCTTGGTTTGCCGACTGTTGCAGGTAGGCTCAAGGTGCTGCAGGATAATTGATATCTCGGAGTAGATGCAGACACAGATCACCCTTTGCACGAACCGCTGATCGTAGTTATGGGTCAGCGGCTGATAAGAGGGAAGTCATGGATGGGTCAGGCGGAGGGCACGATGAGACACGTTTGCATCCTGGACAGTGTTGGGCGAGGAGAGGAGTGGGTGGCAGAGCCAGCGGAGCAGTCAAGATTTGTGTAGAGTCACAATCACGGACATTTAATCAGACTGCTACTGGAACCACTGGTATTGGAACTCTTGCGCTGACTGCTGAAGACGGGGACGGAGCGCTTGTAGGATTGCCTCGAGCGCTGTGATGTCGGTTCCTGAATGAACTCAACTCAACTGTCTGTTTTTCTGCCTGTCTTTTGATTTCTGTCTGCGTATCTCCCTCTCACTACCTCTGTCTGTCTGTCTGTCTGTCTGTCTGTCTGTTTGTCTGTCTATGGGTATGTATTCTCTTACACAATGCAACCACAGACAGTGAGCATTAATTTGCCATTTTTTTTTTAAAAGTAATATTGGTGTTTTTCTCCGTCTCTGTTTTCTGTTCTACGTATTTTTTTTTATTGCCAGTAAAAGTTTGTTCACGCAACGTCATCGTTTTTTAATTGTTGCTTTCTGTTCAGCTCATTTTTTTTCCTCATACCTCAGTTAACTTGATCTAATTTATATTATGTATGATTACATTTTGTAATGTATTAAATAAATTTATATGAAGTATCTTACTTGTGTGTTGTAGGAAGCAGCCAGTTGCCCCTGTCTCGTGCGGAGAGTCTATCCGGCGACGAGTATGGATGTGCACCTCTGTCTGGGCAAGGCTCTCCGGGTCCTGTACGACGGGCAGCTTCCACACAAACTCCAGTCCTTCCATCGCGACTCATCCGCCAAGCTAGCGCTGACACGTCGCCCTTCATGTACAGCGCCTTCCAGCACGAATCTCACACAGACCTTACTGGCAGATCCCTCTCGGGGACCACCTCCTTAACTGGAGCCTTATCCATGTCGATAGCTGGTGGCCTGTCCTTATCTACCTCACAGACTTCTATTCAACTGGGAAAGCAAGCAGATCCTTCAGTTCTCTCACAGAGGCCCGCAGCTGGGAGATTGCGTGATCTCCAGTTCAATCGCAAGCCGTTACATATACCATACAGCGAATTTGAACCATACAAGGCAGACATGAAGAAACGGGTAGAGCTAACCAGAGCAGGAGGGTTAGATGGATTACTCAGCATTCACATCATGTCTGGCCAATGCTTGAAATCTTCCAAGACAAGCCTGCGGGACTTGTACTGCGTAGTCGCCGTGGATTCGCTGAACAAAGCCCGCACAATGATCAGGACTGGGGCTATAAACTTTGATTGGGACGAAGCTTTTGACATCGATCTTGAAGATTCTAAAGAGGCATCTTTTCTAATCTATCACTGGGACGCGAACTATAAGCACCGACTTTGTTTCCATGGTTCTGTTCTTCTTCCTGGGTTTCTCCTTAGTGGACACAAACGTTATGTGGCTATTAAACTAGAACCGAAAGGAATCCTGTTTGTGACTCTCCTGTATAAAGAACCCGCCTTGTGGTTACAACGTTTGCCTGCGTTTAAAGAAAAAACGCCATGTTTGGGATGGATCTGGAGGCGATCATACTTCGAGAAAATTCCGGGCTGAACGTGCCCCTGCTTGTGTACAAGTGCGTGCAGGAAGTAGGCAGACGCGGCCTGGACACGGTGGGGATCTACAGGTTGTGTGGCAGCTCTAGAAGGAAGGCGATTCTCAGAGAGGCGTTCGAGACCAACGTCCAGGGAGTGGATCTGTCACCGGACAATGTTTCCGATATTCACGTAATCACAGGTGAGATTTCGTGTCTTGATAATCCTCGTCTGTTTATTATTTTCAGGTATGGGGGAGGGTGTGTAAGTGTGTGTGAGAGGGAGGGGTGCAGCCACCCTAATAATTTCGTATGGGGAAAAAGAGGCTTCTTTAACCATGTATAGAAATGTTCTTGACAAGTATTTAGTAATACATTATATTAGTTCATTTATATTATTGCAAATATATTAATATATTTATTTGTCATTTGGGGTATAAATATGAATAATAATAATCGCAAACAAAGTAATAGTTATAATGGCCCAAAATATTTAATAATATAATCGTAATTCCTGCTTAAAAAACTATCCACACACACACACACCCGCACGCACACTCACACACACGCGCGCGCACACATACACACACGGGTTAGTTCGACAACGTGCTGTAAAGGATGGGCACCTAGCGTTAGTCGGTACAGTGTTGATTTGTTCCCTCCCACATGTGCTAGTCCAGTCGGTACAGTCTTGATTTGTTCCTTCCCGCATGTGCTAGTCAAGTCGGTACAGTGTTGATTTGTTCCCTCCCGCATGTGCTAGTCCAGTCGGTACAGTGTTGATGTGTTCCCTCCCACATGTGCTAGTCCAGTCGGCACAGTCTTGATTTGTTCCTTCCCACATGTGCTAGTCAAGTCGGTACAGTGTTGATGTGTTCCCTCCCACATGTGCTAGTCCAGTCGGTACAGTCTTGATTTGTTCCTTCCCACATGTGCTAGTCCAGTCGGTACAGAGTCCTATGTTCCCTCACGCATGTGCTAGTCCAGTCGGTACAGTGTTGATTTGTTCCCTCCCACATATGCTAGTCCAGTTGGTACAGTGTTGATTTGTTCCCTCCCACATATGCTAGTCCAGTCGGTACAGTGTTGATTTGTTCCCTCCCGCATGCGCTAGTCCAGTCGGTACAGTGTTGATTTGTTCCCTCCCACATATGCTAGTCCAGTCGGTACAGTGTTGATTTGTTCCCTCCCACATATGCTAGTCCAGTCGGTACAGTGTTGATTTGTTCCATCCCGCATGCGCTAGTCCAGTCGGTACAGTGTTGATTTGTTCCCTCCCACATATGCTAGTCCAGTCGGTACAGTGTTGATTTGTTCCCTCCCGCATGCGCTAGTCCAGTCGGTACAGTGTTGATTTGTTCCCTCCCACATATGCTAGTGCAGCCGGTACAGTGTTGATTTGTTCCCTCCCGCATGCGCTAGTCCAGTCGGTACAGTGTTGATTTGTTCCCTCCCACATGTGCTAGTCCAGTCGGTACAGTGTTGATTTGTTTCCTCCCACATGTGCTAGTTCATAAAGTTGGAGGTTGGGGCAAAGAATTGCAATAAACAGCGCTTCAAAGGTGCTGGGGACAATATGAATGAGTTAGAGAACTCGTTGTAATGGATATACAAATGGTTCGTGAAATATTGGTCTCATTAAAATCAGTGGTATCACACTGGGACACAATGAAGTCTTGATATCAATTATGATTTCATCAGAAGTGAACTAAGCAGATAATGTTTGCTGTCAGTTTGATATCTTCCTTCTAGACTGGTATTTTAAATATTGTTGTTGGCATATTTACAGCCGATTATATTGCTCTATGAGGAGTCGTGGGACCCACAGCCCATGGTGATAGGGACTGTGACAAGCAAGACCTGCCTGCGTTAAGAAATTTCTTCTACAATTATAGCATGGGATTTCAAGACCATTATTATAAAAATTTGTGTTTATTATGTTTCTTCTCAGATGTTCATCTCTCATCCTTTCTGCAATAATTTCTTTTTTTATTCTCATTCCCTTCCTGATTTGCCTTTTCCACGCATCACGGCCAGTGGCATTGTGTTTCCACAAATCTACCTCAATACCTATATCATTCATGTTCCGTTGGCACACATCTTTATATCGTAGTAGAGGCCGACCCATTCAGATCCAGAGTATTTCACTGTGACACAATGAAGTATTGATATGATGAGTTTGCAGTTGTCAGAAGTGGACAAAGTTATTAGTTTATGTTATCAAATTTGCACTCTTCCTCCTCAACTGGTATTAGAAGTATATTTTTGTAGTGACACTATTGAATAAGCTGGTATTGCTTGCGGATGTTGACCCATTTAGGAGCTGGATGGCAGCTGCCTTGGCTCCCAGGTCGACCCAGCTTCAAATGGGTACAAGGTAAACTCCTGGGAAGTAAAGACGGCCGGCGTGATGCTGGCCACATCACCCACCGAGTGTTGATTGATCTATAAAATATTCATGCGTAGACTACATAAAGAAAACAACAACTTGAGCAAAAGTGCTGACATCAATGGTGCTCGCCTCAAGCTCGAAGCAGCCGAGTAGGAATCCAACTGTGAATCTTTACAGGTAGTCAAACCATACTTGTGTTTGCTCTCCCAGGTGTGCTGAAAGATTTTCTGAGGGAACTTCCAGAGCCGTTGTTCACAAATGCCCTCTACCAGATGTTGCTGGATGCCCTGAGTGTACGTCTGCCCTGTGACCCTGAGGGCAGTGCCAAACTCATGCTCAGTATCTTAGAGTGCCTTCCATCTGCCAATCAGGTCAGTGTCTCAGATAACCAGGTCAGTGTATCAGATAACCAGGTCAGTGTCTCCGATAACCAGGTCAGTGTATCAGATAATCAGGTCAGTGTCTCAGATAACCAGGTCAGTGTCTCAGATAACCAGGCCAGTGTCTCAGATAACCAGGTCAGTGTCTCAGATAACCAGGTCAGTGTCTCAGATAACCAGGTCAGTGTCTCAGATACTCAGGTCAGTGTCTCAGATAGCCAGGACTACCTGTAGCTTATGCCAGTAATACAGTAAAGGGCTGTTATTGCATAAGAATTGCATTTAAAACAAATGCTAGCATTGACTAATATGTTTCTTGGAGCCGCCGTGGTGTAGCTCTTAGATGCTCACCTGCCGATCCGCAGCTAATGGGTTCAGGTCTGCTCGTAACCGGACTGTTTTAAAAAATGAAACAAAAATGGTCCAACTTTAAATGGGTACCAGGTAGAGTCGGGGGAAGTAAAGGCGGCCGGCGTGATGTTGACCACATCGCCCATAGGTCTATCAAATGTAGGCCTAGCCCTATATGCCAAATACGCCTGAAGGCGTAGATCATGGGAACAATCAGTAGAGGTACATTGGAGTGGCTGCTGCATCTGAGGACTGAGCAGGTATGGGAATGCCCAATGAGCACAGACGTCGATTGTGTTAACATAAAATAGCATAATGCCAGTGTTGTGAAAATGTCTCTTTACTTACTTTGCTTTTGTGCATGGGAGAGCCGCCATGGTGGAGAGGCTAGACACGCACCTGTGCTGAGGGTCGTGGGTTCATATCCCAACAAAACTGGACTTTTTAAAAAATGACCTTGGCTCTTAGGTCGACCCAGCCTTAAATGGGTACCAGATATAAAGGAATGAATGAACTAAGAATTGGTATCACCGCCAGGGGGACATTCCCACATGTGCTCTGTCCCCTTCTTCAGTAGTCAACAAAGAGTAGACATGTTAACAGTACCAGTTGCACTATGATAAAAAGTCCGCCTATGTTTCCCCCTCACTGTGGAATATCTTCTATAGCCTCTACTCAACTCCCTCCCCAAACCATCGAATTAGTCTTTCAGTGTATGGATTTTCTGTCTGTCCATTTGATCCTCACCACGTCCGTGTTATGGTGCCAGGTGAAGTCTTGGGAAGTGAAGGTGGTTGGCTAGATGCTGACCAAATCACCCACTAAGTACCAACTGGTCTATCAAATATAGCTCTAGCCCTATATGTTCAGTACGCTTAAAGCTATGAAAAATGTCATTTACTTTACTTATGTTTTTGATTGTTAACAATGAAATCTTTCAGTCCCAGGTTATCACAGCAGACACTGAACTGGTAAATTGACTTAAATTTTTAATTCCCAGGTTTTCACAGCAAACACTGAACCAGGAAATTGACTTTTATTAAAAGAAATAATAAAGAATGTGTTCACAAAATCACAGAGACTATATTATATAATTTTCTGAAATATTTAAAAAAAAAAGAAAAAGCTAGAATAAAGGTAACAATAATACAAGAAGTCCATAAACACAAGAAGTCACATGAACACAAGAAGTCACATTAACGCAAGAAGTCACATGAACACAAGAAGTCACATGAACACAAGAAGTCACATGAACACAAGAAGTCACATTAACGCAAGAAGTCACACGAACACAAGAAGTCACATTAACACAAGAAGTCACATGAACACAAGAAGTCACATGAACACAAGAAGTCACATGAACACAGGAAGTCACATGAACACAAGAAGTCACATGAACACAAGAAGTCACATGAACACAACAAGTCACATGAACACAACAAGTCACATGAACACAAGAAGTCACATGAACACAAGAAGTCACATGAACACAAGAAGTCACATGAACACAACAAGTCACATGAACACAACAAGTCACATGAACACAACAAGTCACATGAACACAAGAAGTCACATGAACACAAGAAGTCACATGAACACAAGAAGTCACATGAACACAAGAAGTCACATGAACACAAGAAGTCACATGAACACAACAAGTCACATGAACACAAGAAGTCACATGAACACAAGAAGTCACATGAACACAAGAAGTCACATGAACACAAGAAGTCACATGAACACAACAAGTCACATGAACACAACAAGTCACATGAACACAACAAGTCACATGAACACAAGAAGCCACATGAACACAACAAGTCACATGAACACAACAAGTCACATGAACACAACAAGTCACATGAACACAACAAGTCACATGAACACAACAAGTCACATGAACACAACAAGTCATAACTGTAACCTGTTCTGTTTCTATCCATCAACTGAAGGACACTATGGCCCTTCTCCTCAACCACCTTCGCCTAGTGGCAGCCCACAGTGACAAGAACAAGATGCCAATTGACAATCTGGCAGTTTGCTTTGGGCCAGTCCTTCTCTGCCCAGCCCCTAGATCTACCCCAGATCTGCCTCTGGATTTCAGGAAACACTTCGAAGTGTTGAGATACCTCCTCGAAAATTTGGGATTACAAGGGCACTACAAGTAAGTTACCAAGAATAAATGATCTAGTTGAACCAATATAGATCATCCCGGTCAGATAAAAGTGTGTTAAGTATAAACAATCCCTGGAATAACAACAAAAGAAACTGCTAAACAAATCCTGCAGAAATTGACAGCCGCACAAACAACCAGATTGACAGCTGCACAAACAAGTAGATTAAAAAACATGAAATAAGCAACACTAAAATAGTGAACCCAATCATAAATTTTGAGGATATTTTAAGTACCAGCCTAGTTAGCAAGATGATAAACCATGGTAGGCCACACAAAGATATTGTTAAAAGTTAGTTTTGTATCCTTTACAGGATGTTGCAGAACCAACCCTAAAATGTTTTGGCTGTTGTGGTTTTTCTAGGCAAATTTAATGTTCAGTAGTTTGCCACTGCTTTCTGAATGGTCAGATGTCGGTATCATTGTCAAAACCAAGGTGAGATGTTCTGCTGCCAAATGGCCTAAAACTGAGATTGAACCGGGCACCCTGGCACCCAGCTCAGGAAGATAGAGAAGGGCTGGGTTTGAAGGCAGTAGTTTGGTGGCTTTACGGCGATATCAGCTGACAAGGATGCGTTTCATTTTCATGCCAGGAAATGTGGGGATAAAAGGAAAGAGCATGCTGATAGACTTGCAGGTAAGGCTACTATGAAAGCCGGACAAACCTTGGACCAGGCTGATAACTGAATGCTCTGCGAGATTTGAGATGTTCGCTTGAACCAGTTGAGAACTGTGAATCTTCAACCATGATCAAACTGCAAGAACAGCAATTGAAAAGGGTGTTGCCAAAAAAGAACACTATGCGATTAGCCAAAGAAGTATAATAAATCAACACAGAACTGGTGTTGTCAGCCGCTATATGCTGCTGGATTTACTGCAGAGGGGATCCGAGCAGTTATGGACTGAGTGGTTTGACATGCAGTGAGAATAATCTGTCGACAAACTGGCATTTTGAAGTGCTTTTGTAATGCCTGAGCCACAGACACCGACAAGGATAGCATACTACAGCAATAAAAGTCATGTACAAGTGAATACATAACATGCAGACAAAAACCATCAAAAATGGGAAAGAAAACACACGGGCAGCAGTATGTTAGACACTTAATTGACAGATTATGCTCATTGCACATCTAATCATTCGGTTCATAAGTGCTGTGATTCCCTCCTCAGTAAATCCTGCAGCGTTTAGCGGCTGCTGACACCAGCTCTATATTGGTTTTTATATTCTTCTTTGGCTTTCTGCAGGGTACTTTTGTCTGGCCATACTTTTTTCTTTTTCTTGCAGTGTGATCCCCATTTAGTTGACTATTACAACATGCTTGTTAGGGGGGGCGGTGGGTCTTTTCTTGTTTTCTCTAGAACGGGGCCTCAGAACTCACAATGGCAAAAGAAGTGATAAAAACCATACAGACTATCGACCACAGTTATAACCGAGTCTTTCCAAGAAGCATGTTCTTCTTCTTTGCATTCTGCAGCTGTGAACTCCTGTGGAAATTTCTGCTTGATTGTCCCCTTCTGGTCTGTATCTTGTTTCAGAACCTAAGTTTTGTGTGTATCTGTTTTACAAGTCTGGCTTATTTGTATACAGACTTTTGCCTCTCAGGCAGACGCACTTTGACTTTTAAGCAGACACCCCTGATTAATTGAATTTTATGACATCTATATTAGGGGCAAATACTTTTTACAAAGTTTACCATATATTTAGTCTAAGTTAATACATATTTTTTTTAATTACTCATAAAACCTGTTTTTCAGTCTCCAGTGAAGTCCTTTGTTTTACTTTAGGCAGGAATTTAATAAGCTAGAAATAGTAACAGCATGAGAAAGCAATCATTAGACTGTAATGACTGTAATATATTTTTCACTTTACAAAACATACTGTGAATTTAGTGCTAATGTTCAAAATATAGTTTAGAATTTTGTTAATGTGATTTTGTCAATTGTTCAGGTATAGGAGAGGACAAATCACCAACTGCTGACACACTAGCCTATGTAGAAAAAGGAAGCTCACCTCAGCATTCATCTCAGCCACCACATCAGCAAAGTCAGCTTAGCTCCAGGCGCAGCTCCCGAGATGATATTAGTAAATTCTCTACTGGAGAAAGTGGCGAAATAAGTGGGACAGCACCAAGACAGTGACGCTAGCAAAATATTAGATACCTTTTTGTACAGTATTTAGAATAATTAATTTTACAATATTTAGCATATTCAGTATGTGTGCATAAATGATTGTATAAACATATAGTGATACTTCATAAATTGAAAAAATACATTGTGAATAGGTAAGGCAGCAGATATAGATTCTATAATTTAGATCTCACAATTTTTTTTGTATTAAATTCCATTGATACATCATTTAGACACACGCTAGGGATATTTATATATTTTTGACTTCTTTTTCTTGTCCTTTTCATTAGCTTAAAAGGCATTGGTACCCAGTGATACCCTGTGGTATCTTTGGAGGCAGCAGCAAGCTGTTTTTTCTTTACTCAGTCCAACTGCCGTCTTCTTTTTTTCTTTTTGCATTCTTCTTCTTCTTCATCTCACTGATACCAGGTTGTAGCCCAGTGTCATGGTTTAGTCATCTCACTGATACCAAGTTGTAGCCCAGTGTCATGGTTTTGTCATCTCACTGATACCAGGTTGTTGCCCAGTGTCGTGGTTTAGTCATCTCACTGATACCAGGTTGTTGCCCAGTGTCATGGTTTAGTCATCTCACTGATACCAGGTTGTAGCCCAGTGTCATGGTTTAGTCATCTCACTGATACCAGGTTGTAGCCCAGTGTCATGGTTTAGTCATCTCACTGATACCAGGTTGTTGCCCAGTGTCGTGGTTTAGTCATCTCACTGATACCACTGATACCATTGGTTGTTGCCCAGTGTCATGGTTGTTTAGTCATCTCACTGATACCAGGTTGTAGCCCAGTGTCATGGTTTAGTCATCTCACTGATACCAGGTTGTAGCCCAGTGTCATGGTTTAGTCATCTCACTGATACCAGGTTGTAGCCCAGTGTCATGGTTTAGTCATCTCACTGATACCAGGTTGTAGCCCAGTGTCATGGTTTTGTCATCTCACTGATACCAGGTTGTAGCCCAGTGTCATGGTTTAGTCATCTCACTGATACCAGGTTGTAATCCCAGTGTCATGGTTTAGTCATCTCACTGATACCAGGTTGTAGCCCAGTGTCATGGTTTAGTCATCTCACTGATACCAGGTTGTAGCCCAGTGTCATGGTTTAGTCATCTCACTGATACCAGGTTGTATATGGTTTAGTCATCTCACTGATACCAGGTTGTAGCCCAGGGTCATGGTTTAGTCATCTCACTGATACCAGGTTGTAGCCCAGTGTCATGGTTTAGTCATCTCACTGATACCAGGTTGTAACCCAGTGTCATGGTTTAGTCATCTCACTGATACCAGGTTGTAGCCCAGTGTCATGGTTTAGTCATCTCACTGATACCAGGTTGTAGCCCAGTGTCATGGTTTAGTCATCTCACTGATACCAGGTTGTAGCCCAGTGTCATGGTTTAGTCATCTCACTGATACCAGGTTGTAGCCCAGTGTCATGGTTTAGTCATCTCACTGATACCAGGTTGTAGCCCAGTGTCATGGTTTAGTCATCTCACTGATACCAGGTTGTAGCCCAGTGTCATGGTTTTCTGTATTTGTCTTGTGCTTCTTATTTTGTGCAGGTTTCAGCTTCACCATTTATTCATCTCTTTCTTAATCTTTTCCTCATCTTCCTCCCAGATTTTCTGCTGTAAAACGTCTCATATGCAATTTGGTCTGGCTGTATTCTCACTAAATGGTCGAAATATTTCATTCTTTGTCAATATAATCCAGACATGGTCTTCACGTTAACCAGCTGTAAACTCTGGTGGAAAAGTTAGGTTGTTCTTCCATTTTAGTCCAAACCATTTGATCTGTTAACAGTGATACTAATGTATGATATTTTTTAGAAAACACAGTGTGACAATTCTAATAAAGAAGTCAATGTCTCTTCTGGAACTGGTGATGAACACTTCTAATGATGATACTAATGTATCTTCTGGAATTCATTGTGTTAAAATTCTCATAATATCAATTTGTTTTCTGTAATTCATGCAGGAAAGTCGTTTAATGTTTTCTAAAAATTTCTTTGAATCCGACTTTTAAACTTTAGGATATGTATTTATCTATGTTATGTGCTAGGGTCAATAATATTTGCAACATAAAGACATTATGTTCACAGGTAAATGTTGAGAAAGTGTGAGAATTTTTCTAATGATAAAATTTTTTGGAGACTGATAGAATATTTTCTTTTAATGAGTAAACTGCACTAAAAAAGCAAAGAAAGCGTAAAACAAACTGAAATAAGCATAACAGTTATATCAGCTTCAAAGAAGCGGTTTCAATAAACAAAGAATATTTTTCATTAAATAACGTGGACACAAATTTTACATTGCACAATTTATTGCCTGGCATATTTTGCTGTATCTCGTCAGGTGCATTAATACAGAGTTAAATCAACATATAGTGAAGCACAAAATTGAATCCTTTTCTTGCTGAAATACAGTGTTGAGTCGCTGTACTTCTATCCACCGGAAAGTCAAAACCAGTCACTGATTATCATTCTAACTTCAGATTGATCATGTGGTCTTTCTGTTTACATAACGCAGGAGAATAGAGAATTATGGATACAGCCTTGATCACTTTTAGCAAAGATCTATTCAGTGTGTGGTAAATAATCCTGATATTTCTCTTCTTCATTATTGCGAGCCCTTGACTTTCAATGCTGCAGTTATCACCCATCTCCACTCATCTCTATGATTGGCTTTCTTTTTTAAGAGGGAGACTAAGTGTTTGTAGGTCTACATGTATATTATATCTCCACAATCTTCTAGGTCTGCCTCATTGTCTACTCTCAATCAGTTCTTTTGTAAATGCTGCTTTTGTCCATCTGTTATCTATCTGTCAGGATGCTTTCAATTCCTTGGACAGCGAGAATGAGAAACTCAGATGTTTTGAAAGAGGTAAGGGCTGAAAGACAACTTACAACAATTAACAGAAGGAGAAAGTCATAATTTCCTTTTCTTTTGTTAGGACAAGAGGGAAAGTTAAATAAGTGGTGACCACAGAAAAGATTTGTGCAAAGAGAGATAGAGGAAGACAATGTGGGAAGATTCTTGTCAGTCTTTAATCATGGAGGAGAGTAAGCATTTAAAGGGATACAAACTGCTGGAGATTGCAGTTTATGGAGAGGCACAATTGTTGGGAAGGAAATGATTTCTAGTAAACAAGGAATGTCTCATGTTTCTTGTAACTATTTCTGTAAATCCGACATTAGCTTTGTGTTTTCACTTTCTAGAGAATTAGAAAGTATTGTCTCTGTATGGAGTTACCTTGATTTTAGTGGATAGTTTCTGTAGGTCCTTACCCACATAGGGCTGCAGGTGACACCTGGCTTGTGTAACTGTTACAGGTGCCCTAGTTATAACTTCTTTGGAGGTTGAACAGGCTATCTGCGATCTGCCTTGTTGGTCTGGATGATCTCAAGATGCTATGGTAAACCTTTAGATAGCAGCTTGGAGGGAACAAACTGATCAATTCACAGACAGATCGATTCACAAACTGATAGATTCACAAACTGATAGATTCACAGACAGATCTATTCACACACTGATCTATTCACAAACTGATCGATTCACAAGCAGATAGTTTCTGTAACTGAATAAATCAAAACTGTGAAGATATTAACAAATATCAACACAGTTAAGGATGAGTACTTACACCAAAACTACAGCGTTAACTGCTTTACCAATTGTAGAATTTTGCTTCAGCTAAAGCTTGTACTTACATTTTAAAGCATTCAGAATAGCATCTTACACTGAATTGTGTGTGAGTGTGTGCGTGCATGAGTGTGTGCGTGTGTGAGTGAGTGAAGAACCAAAATCTCAGCACCCAGGACATTCCCATAAGTGCTCTGTCCCCATTTTCCACAGCCAGCAAAGAGTTCCAGTTCTGATGGTACTAGTAGCAATCTAACTGTACGTCTCTCTTGCATTTGATCTCAGTGTTATGTGTAGGACAGATACCAAAGGCCACTCCCCGCTGCACCATTCTCTCCAGGTCTTGATGTTCTGTTTGTGCCTCCACACTGTTCACTTGTTACCAAAGAACATTAACCCTATCTAGCTAGTCATGCATCTGTTTACCACCAGTTGATGAAGAACCAGCCATTCTGTCTTCTTGTTTATTTCTCAATACACCTGCGTGCCCTGAAAGAAATATCCACAGAATTCTAAATACCCATGACTCTGAAAAAAAAACATACTGAAATAGTAAACACATTTGCCCTAATATTAAAACTGTTTAAAACAAATTATCCTGTTTAAAATCTATTTGTTTTTACTTATATTAATAATTATTATTATGTTTATATTTATTATTTAAACTATGATTAGGTTATTAATTCACAACCTGTTTATACTAGTATAAAATTTTACATTGACTATTACTGAACTATTCCTAGAATATCTATTTCTTTCTGAACTATTTCTAAACCATCAACTTCTATCTTAACTTAACTCTTTCTTATAATATATTATAATTTTAAAATGCCCTTGAGAGAGCCACATTAAATTAATTTAAGGGCCACCTTGTCTGCCGACCATATATTACACAATTCAGAAGTGAAGATTGTAAATTAAATTTAAAATTAAATCAAAGTGCCAGCACAGAATAAAAATCTAGGAGTAAATATTGCACTTGGTGAAATATTTTTTTTCTTTGATACAGTAAAACTTGAAAATTCCAATGGAACGAAAACTTGAAGAGTTTGTTGAAAAACAAACTGTGCTAACAAGAGACTAATAGATATATTATGAATAATACATCCTTGCTGGGACTAGAGTTTGGTTAATCTTAAGTAGTATTTGTCTTAAGTGAGTTTGTGCTAATGAGGTTTTACTATATACTAATTGTTACTAAAGAGTTCA